GTCAATTCAAAACTGCATCAGTTCCCAAAGAAGATGAGTCAACGGTACGCAAAGAAGATATTCCATGTGAATAAAATTTAAGAAAGGCATCTCTTTGAAGAAACGTCAGTCCGCATTGCAAATATGACATTTGTTTTTCATTATATTTGATTGAGTTGCATGTCAAAATTTTAAATAGACAATCAACACAACAAGAAAAATAATAAACTGAAGTTTTTCCACTGGTGAACGTAGTTCCGCAAGACTTTTTGAAGATGGTGTATTAATTAGTGTGGCTAGTCGCCTAATATTTGAAAAGAGGCACAAGAAACGAATACACTTGAATTTACGGCAACGCTTTTTCCAAGCATGTAGTGCGATAAAGAAATTAATCTCTGGTCAATTTCTACTTTATCAGAACTATGAATAATGTCAATATCTTTAAGATCGATAACTACATTAAACAACACTTTCTGAAATATGTCTGATGAACAACGTACACTACATGGAAGGTAGTTGTATTTAAGTCAACCAAAAAATGTGCTAATCGTTGTCAGAACAGATGAAGATTGATCTAAGGTAATTTGAAGATAAGCAATTTTAAGTCAACTCACGAGAATACCTTAAAATCATGAAATCGATTGAGTATATCTTCAACTTCGACCGTGATTCATGTTTGCTTCAACAAACGACCAATCTGTATTCATTACATGTTCTATTGGTTTCGCCATAAAAATTCAAAGAAGCAACAGTAGAAATACTACAGCTGAAGAGTGGACCAGTCCGACCTCATTTTTATCGCACAAACCATTCATTGTCTTACATGCTGCATGTCGAAGACTATAGCGAATCATCCGTCTTTTTAGGAAGACTGGATCCTTCTATACTTGGAATTCTACAGGATGAATTCTCGACTATCCAGTGCACTTGGCATACGTGGCTATCAAACCTTTGAGCAAAGTGTCATAATTTTCTTCATAGCTCATAAACACGACTCTACTTGAACTCTTTTAAAATTTTTCAAACCAAGTATTGTCGTTTCTGTTTCACCAACTAACAGCTCACAAGGCACGCACGTGTAGTGTGGCATCAAGTGGCGGTTGACTATGATCACCACTACAGGAAGACTACGTGCTAGTTAACCGATAAGATCCCCCGTAAGACAAATATCGGAAGGCAGTTGATGGCTGTAGTCGAGATGTATTCGTTGGCGATTTCATGGTATCGAAAGAATATCGAGATCGTGCCAGGTTACAAGTGGGCTTACTGAGCGTAACCGAATCTGCGCAAGGTCACAATCAACGGGAGAATGTATGTAGCTTGTTACAGTTAAACGAACAAGTACGGTAAAACAATCCCTGGTACAGTTGGTTATGATAATAATTGTTTTCATTAAACCAATCGCGTTCTCTTGATAAAAGTAGGCCAGTACACATGAAAAGCCGCCATCTCTAATAATCCATCTATGTAATACTCGTTTAGGCAGTTTGCGTCCAGTAATCCTCAATATGAAAACTTTGGCAAGTCACACTACAGTGTTATAATCAAAAGATCTCAAGTTATGTACGAAATAATAAGTGTATAGTGAATTATCTTTGTATATCAGCTGTCTTGATACCTGATATTAAGTAAACTCCAACAGTGTGTAATCTGGGATGCATACACGAAGCGCAGACTACATGTTATTATTGAACGGCGTAGATCAGTGAGCCTCAAGCACAACAAGCGAATTCGAGCAGAATTGCTTACGTGAATGTGCCAATACAGAGACAAATAAGGATTCGAGTGGATAGTCAAATAAATTGATTAGTTTCAAGCATATATATTCATACGAAAGCAAATGATTCATCGTAAGATTTAAGCAACTTTTATTTAGGCCACGGCGATTGGTATATGCATAGGCTGTCACATTTGGTAAAACAATTATATTCATACAGACATAATAATAATGATAAGGTGAACAAATTGTTTCTGTTCAAATAATACTGATTAAACCTACCGAAATTTCAGTATTTATTCTGAACGCGGAACCAACGAACCAGAGTTTATTCGATCAGGTCAAACCACGTTCTATATGGTGCACTTAATGTTTTCGAGTGATTTGTATTAAACTACAACAAAACGCAAACTCTTTAATTTAATCGGTTCTTCTTTAGTAAAGAAAACAAGTTATACCAAAAGTACAAAATGCTTCAACCAGCACAGCCTATGCTATACAGTCGATGGTTTCTCTAGCACAAAACAACGTGTTGAAAAGCAAAAGGAATGGTTAATAAATGAGTGTTTGGTACCTGAGGAGTAATAAAAGCATTCTCAACAAGAGATTGAATGTCTGTCTGCAAGAATCCGAGTAATCGTACTCCGTAGACAGCCAAAGGTCAACAACCATCAACTGAACCCTTAGTTCCATCAAACACGGCTCCATTGTCAATGGCCTGACAACGTCCGACAGTAATATCAAGTAATAATGGTAGGTTTTTTAACCAAAGCCAAATAATAGAAGTTTAGACAAAGAAGACTAAAGAAATTTAAATGTGGTTATAAGAGATCTGAATAAAAGCTAAGATAAAAGACAAAAATGAAAAAGAAATAACTATACTATCTCGTCAAACACTTTCGATTTTCGGCGTTTTCTCTCCGTTATACTGTCCAAATTCACTATGTGTTGTTTATATGAATCTTCCAATTGATGTTTAGCACTGCAATTGATCAGTCTCTTATTATGATATGTTCATCCTGTGAGGATTGACTTGATATTGCCTTAGGTCACAAGCATTATAAGCAAACACGCATAATTAAAGGACGGGTGTTTCGTCCTACTTCGGACTCCCATCAAATGTCTTATACTCACTGAACCAAATCTTATTTTCAACATTGTCAACATGATTGGATAACCTGTTTGATAATTTTGATGCTTGACTATATTTTCATGAAAAAGATTAAATCAGACTGCCGAGTGAAATGTTTAATCACTGAGATTTATACAGACATAATTTTGCTCATTAAATATTTCTGCATTTTGTACTACTCAAACTTGGATTAATTTAATTTGGTTATTTATTCTCTGAAGAAGAGGCTTACGGTGTGCCACGAAACGTCAACAAAATTGAAAACTTAATTTTTCGGCTCATTGAGAAGATATAGTGTAATGAATATGAGAACTGTTAACAAAACTGTAAAAAATTCAACATTTCTTTTAATCATCAAACATTTTGATGTCGGAGTGAACGACTTCATCCATACTTTGGGATTAAGAGTAACTTTTAACTTGAAGAAGCCTATATATTAGTAGCTTACATTTTCACACATCACTGACCATATTATAATTTTTCCTTGATTATTAAACAAAAAGAAATGACAAATGACATCCGTTAAATTGAAAAGATTATTCCTCTCTAAACCTCCAGTTCCTGCTACACTTCGGTTGACTAATGAGCTTGTGAGAATATGTGTTTATTACACATGACAACGGTAAGAGACAAGATGTATTTAGACATATATATCTTTAAATAAGTACATATTAAAGCCTTCACTAACTTGAAATTACCTTGGGTCGATCCAAACTACGATGTAAAATTCAATACACTATTGAGATATAGAAGTCACTTACTGTTCTCCAGTTTACATTTCAGTGTATCGACAACATTCTCTTCTGTTCATTCCTAAACTAGCGTTGAGTAAATAATACCTTAAGCAAATCAATAAAAAGCTAAAGGTAGTAAGTGGGACTTGTAGGTGTACTGTTGTACTCCCTGCCTGCTCTTCAAAAAGGGATGTTTTAGTGATTGGATAGTGTATTCATGTGTGCCTTTTTTTTGCTAATGCCTAACCAGTTATACTTTTTCTTCACAGACTCTGTTCTAAGCAGTACAGACTAAACGAACAGAGTCGATTAAAAGAGAAGAATATGAAATTCACTCTTTTGGTGGGGATAGTCAAAGAAGCTAAAGCGTTGGTACAATTCATCAAGTTCAGGAACAGTAAAATCCCATTCTCTCTTATCTTTATTATTCGTTCGCTCATTCTGGTTTGAAAATTGTTAATGATTAAGTATATTGAACTTCGTCCTCAGTTTGAACGTGGATACTCCAGTTTCAAGAACATTTTTGCTACAACTAGTAAAGTAAACACTCACATCTGATTGATCACTGAAGGATGGGTAATGTCATATTTTTTCTAGTCCATTTAATTTTGATCTAATTTTTTCAATCAGCATCTAAATGACTAAACAAACATGGCTATGATCAACACTCAATAATCAATCAGTAATAAATATCAAATTCCTACAGGAGGTCATTCAGTAATTTAATAATAATCTTTCTGACTGTGAAGCTTGATGGTATAGAATGAAATACGTCAGTTAACACCAGTTCCTGCACGATTTCAAGTATACCCTACTGGAGAGTACCATATAACATGAAATTAGTTGTAAAGTTTTATACCAACTACCTCCAATCAATCAACAATCTAAACGATTATATACTCACTTGGTAAAATTAATATAATTTGTAAGTTTGTAATCAAGAAAACACTAAAGCTAAATCAGAATAACAGAAAAATGTAATAATTCATGGATTCTGTTCAACTGTATTTGTACGCACTATAAACAAATATTATAGTGAACAAGAACAGGAGCGGAGATTATCGGACATAGTAAACACACCACTACACAAAATATCACTAAAATCTCAGAACCATATATCAGATGGTTAATTTGCAAAATATCAATCCATCGTCTCAAACTTGACTGTTCCTTTTACAAATATCAGTCCATTGTCTCAGATTTCATTTTTCATGCATTTTCATACCAATTGCGTTCCGTTCCTGTTCTTTCCTTATCGATCTTCTACTGAAATACATTCTATGCCTGACTACCGTTATATACAACTTGTGTGGATATAAGTACACACCACAATATTACTTACTTACTTACACCTGTTACTCCTCGTGAAGGAGCATAAGCCTCTTACCAACATTCTCTATCCAATCAAGTAAACAAATATATAAACTATAAATTATTTGTAACCATTCAATCTTTTATGTATTCAATTTATACCTTGATTGTTAGTATAAACAATTACATAGTGATTAGTATATTTTTTACATTAATAAGAAATGACAATAATTAAACAACTAAATTAAAACAATCAATAAACACTGATCGGATGTTACGTCATAGTATTGATGACGTCATTTTTTTAAAAAAAGAAAAAGGGTGGTGATGATGATATTACAACTAATAAAGTATATTCCAATTCTATTTATAACATAAAATGAGACTTTAATAGAAAGTTTCATTTGATAAATACTCCAATTTTATTTATTCATAATACTCAAAGGAGATTTTTTTAAAAAAAGGATCTTTATGTATAAATAAAACTATCATATTTGAAGAAGTAAATAGTAGAATTTTATTTCATTATTCATGTTAATTGAATAATGATAAATAAATAAAATGGTAAATTGTCATTATTTAAGAAAATGTTTATTGTTCTCTGTTTAAACGTGATACCACTCGGATAAGTGCTCGATGTTCAGCGTGTAATTTTTCAGATTCAGCACGTAATTTCTCAATTAACTAAAATATGCAAAAAAAAAAACAAAACAATATGATTGAGAAATAGAAAAGTATCAAAATGGGGTTATGGAGAATCTTAGATTTTGATTGAGATCATGAACAAATCAATGTTACTTATTTACTTAATTACTTACGCCTGTTACTCCCAATGGAACATAGGCCGCCGACCAGCATTCTCCAACTCACTCTGTCCTGGGCCTTCTTTTCTAGTTCCATCCAATTATTGTTCAATTTTTTCATGTCTATTTTCATTTCTCGGCGTAATGTGTTCTTTGGTCTTCCTCTTCTCCTTTAGCCTTCAGGATTCCATGTGAGGGCTTGCCTTGTGACGCAGTTGGATGCCTTCCTCAATGTGTGTTCCATCCACTTCCAGTGCTCATTCCTGATTTCGTCCTCCGCTAGGATCTGGTTTGTTCTCTCCCACAGTACGTTGTTGCTAATAGTGTGTGGCCAACGGATCTGAAGTATTTTGCGTAGACGGCTGTTAATAAACACCTGTATTTTCTGGATGATGGCTTTCGTAGTTCTCCAGGTTTCCGCCTCATACAGTAGAACTGTCTTGACATTTGTATTGAAAATCCTGACCTTAGTGTTGGTTGACAGTTGCTTTGAGCTCCAGATGTTCCTCAGTTGTAAATATGCTGCTCTTGCCTTGCCGATCCGTGCCCTCGCGTACCCGCCCGGAGCCTCTCTGGGGCTACTGCCGGTCCCAAGCCCGGATAAGGGAGGAGAGTTGAGCATGGGGTTAGCGACCCCATCCCGTAGAAGACTAACCCTCTAAAAAACGCTAACCAGATCAATGTTAGACCACCATTAAAAACTTGGAAGCATTGAACAACCGTTTCGTTCTGGTTCAGAACTCCTCATTAGTGCGCACCTACGATCTCATATGCGGGTTTCGAAACCAGAACCCTTGACCTCTCATGTGAACAATTAACTTCTAAATCGATGAGCCAGCATCTAATGGCGTTAAGGTTTAACTTCAATCAATCTATTGTCTTAGGTGGGTAACTGCCCCACACCTAGATAAGTCACAAGTAGATTTATAGTCTGGTTTGTTAAATAAAATGATTCATTTCGATTATTTTAATAAATTAACATAATTCAAGCAATATAATTAATGGTTCATTTTTATTGTTTATACTATCATCTAAATTCATAATGTCAATAACACTATAGTTTGATGAGTAAACCTAACAGGAAACCAGGAAATCAACTAAGAAATAAGAAATTCTTCTTTAATTATAATAATATCTACTAATTCTTGATAGATACCTCAAATAAAATCTACTATACAAAATTCATTATACATACATAAATCATGTACAATATGCTTATACTTTAATTTATTGTAATATGAAAATAATTGTAGAATTGAAATTTATGTATATTTAACCATATAAACATTAACCATCTAAAATGATGACAAATTTCGTATGTTTCTTTAAGTTTATCACAATTTTGGTAAAGTTTTGTTCTCTGAGCTGGATTATTTGATCGCCTCAAAACTGGAATTCTTCGCAACACTAGAGTCATCACTCAAAACTTCCAAAATAAATGAAGAAACGCAACAAGAAATAAGGCAAACTATAGTACCGCTAACTTAACGGATGAAGGGCAATAACAATCTGACTTCAGAAGAACAAAAAGTAATATAGAAACTCAGAAATAGAAGAGATATTGTCATTGTTCCAGCTGACAAAGGATGCACCACAGTGATTATGGAAAAAGAAAAATACATCAAGAAAGCCGAGGAACTACTTGAGGATAAAAACACATACAAACCGATAAACATAAATCCAGTCAAAAATTTAGACAACCGAATCTTAAAGACTTTAAACAAGCTCATCAAAGCAAGAGAAATAACAAACCAAGATTGATGGAGAATGAAATCCAATGGACCAGTGCTTCCTCAATTCTAAGGCAGGCCCAAAAAAAACACAAACCAAACATCTCATACAAATAAACCATCCAGCTCAAAGAACAAAACTCCATCACAATCATCCACTTGTGCTACAAATCTTCTCTACTTACTGAACATTACAATTTTATCTGACTTACTTTAAGTTCTTGTTCACATTCTGATATTCTTCTTTCCATTTTCTTTAAAATTAAACAAACAAAATGAAAACATTTACAAATGTGTTATCATATTTTCACTGATAACTAAATGAAAAATACTTAATTACATAGTTTAATTTCACAAAAACTAAAGAAAAACTAGTCATGCTGTTAGTTTACACATAAAATATAACTCGGTGAAAGTATAATTTATGGATGAACCAATCAGATATAAGATAACAGGTTTTGGATTTTGACGCGAAATTCATTCACTCATTTGACTAAATACCATTTTAACATTATAGCTGATATCAGTAGCATAAACTACAGTATTATTCGTTTTGTAGAATCTTATATAATTCGTATAAATAACATTTTTGACTAAACGAATGCAGAACTATGTTACTGTGTTTTAAGTTCATTTTTGTGAGAAATGATGCTTATCTAACAAAATAATTAAAGACTATAGACAATCAAAACTTCCATGTTTTCCATGGTGGTCTATCTTCAATGAACTCGTGCTCTCAAATATTGAAATTACTAGAATCTTTACAAAACCCCTTCTGATACTAATCAAAACTACATTAAATTTGCACTTTACAACAGCTCTTTAGAAAACATTAATAACTATATTTTAGATTAGAACTGATTACAGGTATAGACAAATTAGTTATGACACAAAAATGAAGTGAAACTAAAGAGTTAGGAAAGTTGAACGAACCAATCTCTGACCTTAGTTTATTTAAATTTTAAATTTCTGAAAAAGACAAGAAATACATCTTGAGATTCATAAGATATTTTTCTGTTTAAATTAGAAACATATTTTAAATGGAGTTGTTGTCCACACTGAAACGGAAACCAGTTGTACTACAGTTATCCTTTTATTCTTAAATAACTTGTGGATTTATAAATAATCACTTATCGACTTCAAATTTGTTGTTTACCTCCAATTAATGTGGTGGAACATAACTTTCGTTAAGAAGATTGCTCGATAATAATATACGATTTTCTGTAAGTACATAAAACCTAAATCTCTTTGAACGACTCAATAAACTTCCTGTGTTACCAATACGATAAGTTGAGGCATTAAGTAACCTTTAAACAACATGAACAGTGGTGCAACTTTCTTCGAGACTGTGGTGTATCAATGATGCATACTGTTATTGCTTATAAACTGAAGTTTACTGTGAACTCATTTGGAAATCGTTAGATGAATTTACAACGTACTCGAAACAGGCCATTTAATTTGGGTGAAATCATTCGTTTAAAGATAAGCTTTATCATACGTAAACAAGTAGATAACCGATGATTTTTAAAAATTGGACATAAACTGAAGATGACCACCTAACTACACATGGTCATATTCGAAAGCATACACTGATTGTAGAGTATATAGGAATTACAGAAAACAAAACAGTTATTTTTTACAGTTTCAGGCTTCCAAAGAGAATAAATCTAACAACAGATCGTTATAGATAGAAATGAATAGTGACTATCAGTGAGATACAGGACGTGCGTTTCGTCCTATTCGGGACTTGCCTGCTAGATATGCCTGCATCCTAGAGTTCATATTCACTCCAGGACTCGAATCAATTGCCGTTCGCTTCAAATTCCATCTCTTTATCCACTTGTGCACTGAGTCCAGTTAGTTACTGGCTCCTGCAATGGGGTAGAGTTCAATAAATTTGTATTGGTTGTTTGAATCCTTCTATTGATGTTTAGAAGTGAAACTGATTAGTCTCTCTTGGCATTTGCGCGTTCTGTGAGGATATACAAACAATACAAATGAATTAAGATCGTTTCCAGTTGAAGAAATACTGTCTCACATAACAGCTAATGATAATCAATTTTAAGTCAAACTGAGTAATGACAGAAAGTACTTAGTGATATGACAACACAGCTTGCGATTCATTTCAAGAAAGTAGTCATAATTTTACAATTGTTAAAAATACTTAAACTTGACCAAACCACCTTGCCAATCCTTTTAGATTCTTAGCATCATATCTTCTAAAAGAAAATTTCTAAACTTCAAATAGTTTCACTTACCCTTTGTTCAACCTCACTAGGTCTTCGTCTACCAACTGAATTTTCCAAGGCGTCTTCTAATTCTTTTAGTTCTTTCTGGGCTGCTTTCACCTCTTCACGTAAACCATTTGTTAGCAGTTTTTCTTCTTCGTATAACTGTTTGTAATTAGGTGTTTTACTTGCGGCACTACTCAAATCCTATCAGAGCAAACACAATGAAACAACGAATAAACCTTCGTTGAAATACTAAAAGCATTAAACTGCGAATAATTCCATCTATTGAGGAAGGGTAGACGTTAGAAAGAGATAAACAGTTGCATACTGAAGAAAGTATACTTTAAACTGCTCCTTGCTAACACTAGTCATCAACAAATAAATCTCCACTTTCTTGTTCGTATATATATATATATATGTTATTAAGGTAAGAAGTGAAATAACGCTAAACGCAATTATCTGTTATTGCATACAGTACTCCACTAATTCAGATATAAAGCCGTAATTCTTTACCACCTTAGTTATTTCCCAAGGTTTCTAGCGTTTTGTTTTTAAGTAGGTCCATCTCGTTAGCTTTTTGTTAATTTCAATGTTATTGCCCTAATGATTCGTAACTAGTAAGATACGATATATCAGAGACACTTTCTTTCCTCCATGCTTGAGATACTATCACTTACACGCGAAATCGACAAGGTGATGACGGTATTGGAGAATCTCAGCTAATCATATACTCTGGCAAGTCAACCACTACAAGAAGCCATGCGACTACGCAATATAACGTTTCCCGATAGTTTTACGTTTTCAAAATATCAAAGAATCAAAACATAATCAATAGTTTTATCGATGGAACACAGCTGAGATGAAATGAAATCTATGGTGAGTCGAAAAGTCAGTTCTTAAAAGTTCGTGAAGTTTATGTTTGTCAGACTTTCTATTATTGGTCAGTTAACATCAGTATTTATCCCGTCCATTAAAGTTGATTATGTCACACATTGTCACATTAAGCTTGAGACTGAACGCCAAAGTTTTATTTCCTTAAATCTATTCATTTCCGTAATTTCTTGATAATTGACTGGATTAATGTCTGAACATTCTTCTACTTATTAGTAGGCAGTCGAGATGCTAATTTTTAGTTGTTCATACATCAAACTATGAAGTAAACTTCCAACACATTAAGAAGTTTTAAATTAAATTCATTTTATTAGAAAATACTTAGTTTTATAAGATCAAAAGTCATGATATATAGCTTACCGAATTCCATGATGAACTAGTACCTATTCCACCAACTGTATAGTTTGTATTTGAACCAATTTTATTTGGTGACCTACGTGGATATTGTGGAAGTCCTGAGTAAGATGAAGTTGATGTACCAGTTACACTACAACTGCTGCCTACACCAACACTGACAATACCACTCCCACTATTACTTGAAAGACCTTGTGTACGTGTTAAATACCGTGATGGCTTTGGGGTATCCGTCTAAAGTAATAGATATTTATACAGATAAATAAATAAATATCAGAAGGGTTTTTGTGGACATTATAATAATTTCAGTCGTTGAAATCATGAGTCAGTTGAAGCTAGACCACCATGGAAAACCTGGTGGGACTCCTCATCAGTGCGCATACACGATTCCGCCTCGCAAGATTCGAACCCAGGACCTATCAGTCTCGTGCGCGAGCGTCTATATAAACAAATGTAATATATGTCAATACTTCATATTTTAGACTTTTTATCTGCGGTTGTACAGTGTAATCTATTCCCTGCACATAAAAAATTATCAAAGTGAAGAAGACAGCTATACTCCAAAATAATACATTTCTATGGTGGTTATTACAAACCAATTATTTTCGTACATTTCAAAAAGTGTACCATGCTCCATTCGACAAATAGTTTTAATGCACATTATTAGTTGCCTAAATGATTCAAAGAACTCTATTCTGAAATCAATTTAGAAAATTAACTTTCTTCTAATGTCAGATGCAATTAATTTAAATGAAGCCATAACAAATACTGATGCAGAATAATATGAATTTCGTAGTTTCTCATCAGCTGCTTATAACCAAATATATTTTAGAATTTTACACAGAGGTAAGAAATAGTATGAAACAATCAATATAAGTGAATGTGAAGAATAGGAATGGCAAGGGTTATCAATAATAACTATAAATATATATACAAGAGCAGGTCAAAGGTTATTTGCTGTTAGAATCAAGGAAACACTAAGGATGGGTGATGTAGTCGTTGAATGGAGTTCAGAGGCATTAATACTATCTTTTATTTTTCCCTAAATTCCTATTCCTTTTATTGAAATAGTTTATACATAATTTCATTTGTAAATGCACAAATTATCAATGGATTGTGAAATCTACTTTTATCAAAACAAATTTCCTACAAATGCATTATTGGTTAGTAATCTAGTACTCAATACTTGGTAATGGTAAAACAAATTGAATTTGTTTTCGAACAGAATAGTGAATCTACTGATATCATTGAACTGTAATAACACTATATAATACAATATTATCGAATTGATTCTACTATAATGGGCTAGTTGAACGGCACAAAGCTCAGTATAATAATTAGAGCACCTAAGTTAGATCCTAGATATGAAATAGTACTATCAATAGGATTCAAACGATACTTCATGCCGATTCCAACTATTCGTTAAAGTTTTCTATGTGAAAGCTACTTCAGTGTTATGTATAATTTCCGCCGAAAATCGTTATTATTAAACTCTTCATATTTAATGCTTAGTTTACAATAAATCTAAACATACGATTACTAGTAAACTCACTCTACCTAACTGAGATATTATGATTATGGATGTAAACATATAAATAAATAGTCAAATTATACCTTCACATACACTACTTTGAGTTAATTTGATTTTAATGACCTGTATTTATTCAGTAACTTGTCAACTGAGTTTAACGGAAGCTGATAAATTTTTATTGCATTATGTATGTCATTTGGTTTCTAAGTCGTAACTTCATGATCACTTATGATCAGTAAAGCTGAAGAGCCTACTGAAAACTTTTACTTCTCTTGAGAATGAATTATGTACTTTTCAATATTTTACTAAGATACTAATCATACTTCTTGTTATAAAAATTAACTATGATCGTAAATGGAAATTATACAGATAACATATAAGCTAATTATCCTTTATCTTTTCAACAAGATCATTTACTTGAGCTGTATCTTCATATTTATAATTGTATGATAAATATGTGCCTATAGAAAGATAGAAAAGATTGTATCATAAACTGATTCAAAACTCCTATTATTAAATGAGGTTACGTAATAATCAGGAGGTAAGGGAAGAATGGAAGGATGAAAGTAATTTACCGGTCAAAATTATGAAAGATAATTGTCTATTTAACAGATATCAAGTAAATGATTTCATCGTAAAGAAAATTTTATCCCCTGGATTCTCTTTCTTTTTATTCAATGACACAATCGGTTATTTTATTCATGAAGACTCAGTAAATAATTAATCCAAGAATTCTATATAGAACTATTGCGTTTTCTTAATCAAGATCAATGAGACGATGAAGTCCTAAAGTATCATACTGCAAGACAAAGGAACTGGAAAAAAATGAGTTTTATGTTTGATTTATATATACTTTAAAGAATTTTACTGGCTGTGATAAAAAGAAATTTCTCACGAACAGAGTTACAGCGAATTTAAGATACTCCGTTTAGGAAAAAAATGTCATTTCATTTTCATTCGGACACATAGATGAATACTGACTTATTTAGAGATAGCCTTAATTTAATTTAAGTAATAATCATTATGGATTGAAGCTATCTGGAGTACTATTGAACAGATCTTTTATTTATGATAAATATCATACAAACATTTCGTCCAAATGTCCTACCATCGCTGACGGAACTGAGCAGCGTCAGGAGATAGAATGTTATCAACGATCCCAGTGAATTGTTGCCACGTTGTGTCGTAGATAGATTGGAGTTAGACATGAAGATCAATAAGTCGGGTTTCAGTAATTCAAAGATCAAGTGATCAATACAAAACCTAGAGTCCCTAGTTCCAAACACCATCAAGGTTTTGGTGTAGTGTACGAGAACACAAGTGGGGACAAACGAATGCATTTGAACACAAAATTATACATGTTAGTAAAATCTGAGAACCATACAGTAAATATTTAATTAACATTAACCAAATGTCTCAAACTTGGTTGTTCCTTTTGAAAACATCAGTCAACCGTCTCAGACTTCATTGTTTTTTCGTTCCTACACCAATCATTCTTTGTTTTCACTCTCTTTTCTTCGATCTTTTTAACCTTCTATCACCAACCATTTCACTTTCGATTAATGATACATACTACTTATACCTGTCGATATCAGTAGCACAGACCATAATGACTGAGAAGTTTGGAACTATGTCGAAATAACTCCATAATACCCCGTTAATCTATACTAAATATTAGTCCATATTCTAGACTAATTTAAAGAGAATTATCAGAAAGCGTTTTGTGGAGATTTTAGGAATTTTCACTGGTTGAAATCATGAGTCACTTGAATCTAGACTACCATGGAAAACCTGGAAGCACTGGACGGCCGTCTCGTCCTAGTGTGGGACTCTTCAGCAGTGCACACCCACGATCTCGCACCCCGCGAGATTCGAACCCGAGACCTATCAGTCTCACACCAGGCGCTTAACCAACTAGACCACTGAGCCGGTCAGTATCCAATGGTGTTAATGTATAACTTCAAACAATCCACGAAGTTGCGCGAGACTGGTAGGTCCTGGGTTCGAATGCTGCGGGGTGCGTGATCGTGGGTGCACACTGCTAAGGAGTCCCATACTAGGACGAGACGGCCGTCCAGTGCTTTCAGGTTTTCCATGGTGGTCTAGATTCAATTGACTCATGATTTCAATCAGTTAAAGAGAATTACTTGAAAAATATTGATTAAATGCGTAATTTAAATGATATTTTATTTATTTATTTATCTGTTTACAAGTTTAGATGAATGATTTATGTATGAAAAAAGAGATGATTGAAAATGTAAAGGTGAACTAAGTGAAATGTTAATGAATGAAGGATTTAAATGATGGAATTAGATCTACTTTAGATTGATGACATAACAAAACAATTGACATACTAAATATTTCTTATTGTCAATAAATGATTACATTTTGACGCATATTTATATATAACCTTACAATACTAATGTATATTATTGTATAAATAACCAAAATCCTGTCATATAAATTAACTTGATAAGTTTGCTTGATGTGTATGATTTTATTATTATTCTATTCATATATGAATTCTGTTGATAATAAGTTATATTGATTATGGTAAAAATAGTTCAGCTATCTATAGAGATATTTGTTCATACTACTTTAAGTATACTATTCAAAAGTATTTACCTGAATTATTTTAAGTATTATTTCAGATATTCATAAGAAATGTGATAACTGTGTCGTGGATGCACACTAATGAAGAGTCTCATACTAAGACAAAACAGATAATTATTCTAACTAGGTTTTCAATGGTTAACTAAATTGGATCGTTTCGTTATTTTATCAGAAATCATTATTGATACAGTTCGACATTATTTATAAGTGATCACTTTTAAAATTATTCAGAAACAAAGGAAACCGATCATTAAACAACCTAAAACTTTTCACTGTTGTTATACTACGAAATTTATAGATAAACCAATCAGATCTAGGGTTACAGATCTTGGATTTCGGCGCGAGATTCAATCACTCATTTGTCGAGATAACATCTTGGCATTTTAGCTTATGTCATTTAGTGTTGAAAGACCGTAAATCTATTTCCTAACCCTAACCATCAATTGTGAACCATAATCCTTGTTCTTCAAAACTCCGGTTCAGTGGTCTAGTAGCTAAGCGCTCTCGCGCGAGACTAATAAGTCCCGGGTTTGAATCCCGCCAGGCGGGGTCGTGTATGTGCACTGCTGAGGAGTCCCACAATAGGACGAAACGGCCTCCCAGTGCTTCAGGTTTCCCATGATGATCTAGCTTCGGTTGACTCATGATCTCAACTATCAAAATTGCTTTATAACCCTCATTTAGCCCTAGTAAGTCGGTAAACACTCTCAAGGTCGCTCAAAGATCGTCCATAAATTATATTCTCACCACATTTTTCAGCGCTAGATAATATCTTTCACAATAAAAGTCACTAAATAAAGAAATAAGTTTCATTAGTGAAAAAACTTCCTGTTTTCTAGAAATCGTTTTGAGTAACTATGTAAAACTGTTTACATTGAGCTTTTTATTGTTGTTGTACACCATAATAATATTAACATACTATATACATTTCACTTATTAAAGATTAATAGCTTCATCATTTATTACATGGCATGTAATTGACTGATGTGCTGATTAAGACAAAATGAAAGTGATAGCTTAGAGTTATTTAACTTCTCTTACTTAATATCATTCTAAGTTTATTGATCGATTTCTTTTCTTTTATTTATAA